ATTCACTTCCACAAAATATTTGTTACACGCCTAATGTATCCAGCTCAGATTAGTGGCAGAAGACACAAAAAGAGTCCATACTCCTAAATGAGAAATATCTTTACACAGTACTATGGACTAATTTCCAGGATTTACTGTTAACAGAAAAAAATATGGTGGAGCAAAGTGTGGATAGTATGCTACTGTTTCAGAATGGGTAAAGAGAGTGCAAAGATATATACACATTTGCTTTTACTTTTTTTTAATGTAAGGGCAAATCATCAATCTTGTCTTAACCCATACAGGAAGGGCAGGAACAGGGTAAAGAATGAATAGAAGGTAGAGTTCTCCTAATATATTTTACCTTGTCTTGGTCATTTGAATTTGGAACCTTATGAACATTTTATATACTTATACAACAAAATTAATGCTCAAAAGGCGATACTGAAAAATAATCATACCAGAGCAAAATGAAACAAGTGAACCAACCTATTATCTAATTGATAGCTTAATCACAGGAAGAGAAACCTGAATTTAATCAAGCTTCTAGATCTAACTACCAATTCACAGAAAATACAGGGGACAGTGGAGCATGTTAAAAAATACCACAAAATTCACACTATGTGAAATTCTAGAGGACAAACAATCCAGTTAGTACAACAATTCAATTAAATTACAAGAAAGAAAAACACACACACAGAAGAAAGAGATAAAAGGGGAATCTATAAAGGACAAAAGTTATCAACCAATTACAATAAACAAATTTAATTCAAGTAAACTCTAAGAAAAAAATTAAGAACCAAATGGGAAAAATGAACAGACTGGTGATTTTAAAGGAAAAAGAATTATTGGTGATTTGTTTAGGCATGATAATGATATGACTGTTTCTCAAGAAAAATCTTTACCTTTCAGAAACATATTAAAATGTATATATGTATGTAAATACACACATGAATGAATGAAATGATGTCTGTGATTTGCTTCAAAATAAGACAAGCACATGGACTTAAAAATGAAAAGATTGGTCATAAACTGATCATTTGTTGAAGCTGGTTTATAGGACAGAATCCACTATAACATTCTATTCTTGTAAACTTTAAAATTTCCAAAATTAAAAAATCATATTGGTAGCAACTACTCCTAGAGCTAAGAATAGACCTTCCCTGTGGAGGAAAATAAGTTGCTGATTATTCCCCTGTAATTCTTACAGCATTTATTGCCTTTCCCCATCTTTAGCTATCTTATATAATAATCCTTCTCAAACTTGGTATCACTGTCACAAATAAAAAACATGGTGATTTTCTCTGGTGCATATTGTCTTCAACCAGGAAACCTGTCTTTCTAATAAATGCAAGTCAATCCTACTGGGGATAATAAAAGAGAAAATAAAAAGTAAGAATACTAAAAGGAAAATAAATGATAGAGCAGGCATTGTTTATATAGAGAAGCCTTAGGAAACAGTAAAGAAAGTGAAGGAAATGAAGCCTAACTCGACCTTAGAAATAAACTCCTACATCCCTCAGTAGAGAAAGCTGAGAGCCAGATTTAACAGGCACTGAAGGCTTATGTTCTGGCATGAATTTATTATAAACAAAACCCTCATCATAAAACTGTATATACTGAGGAAGGCTACACTGAACACATTACATAAATATCACATTCCCAAGGCCTCAATGGAACTTCAGGAAACTATTCAACAAATTCAAACCAGAAAATCAGAAAAGTGCTGAACATTGGAGGAAGAACAGAAACAGGGGAAAAAAAACATGCCTCCTAATTTTGTATTATCTGCCTGACTATATATTATCTCTAATTGTGTATTAGAATAAAATGAATGTAAACATCTCACTGAAACTGAAGTATTAGTGAAGAGCCTAAATTTCCCACAGAGCAACAGTGGTGCCACACTCGTTACTACAAATTGAACAACGATAAACAGGAAATATGTATGTATTTACATAGTCCTTCACACACTCAAGTACTACCTCAAATTCACTAATCCTATTCTTTGTAGACTTAATGCCCATGGTGAAGAGACTTTCATAAATTACTTAGCTCCTTAATATATTTTGTCTTTTCAGTAAAACACAAGCCACTAAGGCTACAACTATGGAGTCTGTTTTTTTTTTTTACTTTAAATCCCCTCTATATGTTTTACATAGAGTAGGTGCTCAATAAATGTTTGTTCATTTAGCAACTTAAAAAAAGCAAAGTAACATATAATGCCAAGGAAATACTCTAAATACAATAAGGAGGCTTTTGAGTATGGAAAAGACATACCCTCGAGGAGTTTATCATGCTTTCTCTTACAGCCTATTAATATCTTAAAAATGCCATAGTTTGGGCGGTGGGATGGAGGGGAGGGAGAGCTATACACAAAACAGCTATTGTTGCTGTTTAACAATCATTTCAAAAATATGCCAGAATTTCCACAAACTTCCACTGACATGAAAAAAATTTTTTCTCTAAAGACTATTGTACAAACTGAACCAGAGCTATACCTAGATCTATTTAAGAACGAGGTAATGATTAGAGAGTAACAACATACTCAAACAGGCATCAGTGCAGAATACACTGCTTATTAACTGGAAAGAAATAGGATTATGGCATTAGCAGATCAAGGAAACAAAATAGGGATATGTATCTGAATATCTGTAAAAGTTTCAACCAGTTAATTTCCAGACCTGCAGAATTTGTTTCAATTTGGCTGGAACCAGGAAAAAAAAAATCCTAGAAGCAGAGTAGGGATAAATTTCAATATGGATAAGAGGAGAAAACACAGAAATGTATAGAATCAAGAATTACTTGGGTCTTGTATCACACATTTTTACTAATACACACACACTAAACTTTAAAGGAATACATATCCATAAAAATAAGTTTCTTTAAAAACTGTATAATAAATGAAAACATGTGAGATTTATGTAAAAAAAATCTATTCTCGAAAAACATAAGCCAACATAAGCAACAGCTATAAAAAAAAAACTAGGAGAAAAAAACTAAGAAATAACAAAGAGCCTACCAAATAGAAATGTGCAAATCATGGAGAAATGTGCAACACATGTTATCATGATAAAACAATGCAGCTACGTGGAATCCTCGTACATTACTGGCAGGAATGCATAATGGTGCATCCACTGTGAAAAAGAGTTTGGCAATTCTTCACAAAGTGAAACACAGAAATACCAGTAATTCCATTCCTAGACATATAACCAAAAGAATACCCAAAATAGATATTCAAATAAATACCTAAATATGAATGTTCACAGCAGTACTGTTCACAATAGCCAAAAAAATGAAACTAGCCCATATGTCTATCAACAAATGAATGGATAAACAAAATGTGGCATATTGATAGAATGGAGTATTATTCAGCCTTAAAAAGGAATGAAATACTGATACTTAATACAACATGCACAAATCTCCAAAACATTCTGCTAATTGAAAGCCAGACACAAAAGATCACATATTGTATAATTCTATTGACATAAAACATCCAGAATAGGTAAATCCATAGAGACAGAAAACAGGATCTAGAGGAGGGAAGAATAAAAATGACTTTAATGCAAGCAGGGTTTCCTTTGGATGTGGTGAAAATGTTTTGGAACTACACAGAGGTAATGATTCTATAAAATGAACTAAGTGACACTGAATTGAACACCTTAAAATGGTTTATTTTATGTTATGTTCATTTCATCTCATAAAAATAAATATAAATATCCCCCCAAAACAATGCAGTTCTTCTACAGTCTACAAATATTTGGTAATTTACCAATTAATGGTATGTCTCTTCCCTTTTAAGACTAATTCAGACATACACACCTGACTCCATCTCTTACTCGGTCCCTCACCCTAATTTACCTAGTTTTTTCCTTCTACCTAAAAACATTACCAGATCTCCTTATTCTGACAAAACTTTACTTGATTTTGCTCTGTGTTCTATTCTATTTCTTTTCTTCCTCTTGCTGTCAAATTCTCAGGGTTGGTCTACTAGAACTGAGGCAGCCACCTGTTCTTATAAATAAGATTTTGTTAAAATAACTACCCCATTTATTAAGATCCACACGAAGGGCAAAGTTAAGTAGTTAGGAGATCCTGGGGCCAGAGAACCTAAAATATTTCCTATCTGGCTCCTTTTTAAAAAGGTTTGTCAATCTCGGGAGCTCCAAAGCATGCTCTACATTCAATAGCATCATTTCATCTTAGGACAAGTGAGTACCATGAAAGGTTTGGAGCAATAGTAAAGTGCCATGAATAAAAGCGAATTTCAGGACCACCAGTTTAATAGCGTTCAGGGAAGATCTATTTCAAAAAAAATAGAGTAGTAGGCAGTCTTGCCTACTACTGCAAGAGAGTAGGCACTAGGCATAAAATGTGGGCAACGAAAGGGACTTCAAGCATCAATACTAGATGACTACACGTCATGACAGAGGAGACAAAACACCAAAATTTCAATCCTCGATGTGGCTCTCAGATTTTGCATTCTCTTCTATAGTCGACTGTAGCCTTACAGCTTTTCAGTTTCCTACCTTTCTGACTGTAGACTTCCTAAAATCTTAATATTAGTTCCATATCCTCTGTGTACCAGTCATTCCTTATGCTTGACACCTGGCTACCTCCTGGGTAAGCAAATCACTTAGGAAGAAACAGTCCCAACAGAGTTGGCTAAATAAGAGCACGGGACCGATGTCAGAAGCAGATCAAGTACTCACCTGTGGTACCAAGCAGAGAGAGAGGGGGACTAATATTTCAGGTCCAGAACTGGCTCTAGCCAAACAGGAAGAAGCAGCTATGAAACTGCTTACAGCAGAAGCAGAGTGTCTTGAATATTCTGATATACTTTTTCTGATGTTCAGAAAGACCACCATTAGAGAAGCCATTAGTAAGAGAGTCTCATGAGAAACAAGGCAAAAAAACAAGACCAAAAAGTGAAGAATTAAATGGAGCAGCCCCCTTTTGTCTAGAAAAGCAGTCTTCTAAAGATGACACTACTTTTTCACAATGGCCCATATGATACTAACCTTCATTAACAGAGTTATCACATCCCACAAGATTGAGAAGGATATCATCATCTTTATCATCAACTTCACATCCCAGCAGCATCCAGCTTTCCACGTTGTCACTTTCTGAAATGGTGCTCTCTTCCTCTTCACTTGAACTGACTTCTATAATCATAACCTCTCGAACCGCAGCCAGTCGCTCTCCAGATTTAGGTGTCTCAATATCCCTCTTGAATTTCTTATCATCCAACTCATTAGAATGAAGAGGAGGAGGAGAACCTCGGGTCTTTTCTTTTGCTTGGACTCTAAAATTCTTTCTTCTACATCTATAAATACTATCTTCATCAGACAAAGTGATGACCTCTGACCCATCAGATAGCTGGATGACCTCACTGTCTGAAAGGATAATTAAGTTCTTCTGATTTGGCTTACTACTAGATGATTCAGAATCCCTAGAGTTCTTTTCTTCATGTTCTTCCTCCCTGATGACATTATTAAGATCTTGGGCATAATGAACTTGGCTGTAGAGCTGAAATTCCACTTCACTATCAACACTCAGTTCACTAGATGACTCTTCACGATAAAGGTCATCTTCATATGCTTCTATAGTCTCATAGCCACCAAACATCATGGAAGGTTGGTACCTATGATGCTGTAAAAGAGAAAGTCATACAAAGAATGTATTTTAAAAGCTCAGATCATGCCTGTTTAGAAAGAACTTTTATACAAAGGCCATTACTTTTCTCAATGACATATCAAAATAACTTTTTCTCCTATAGCACCTTTTTTTTTCAAGGGTTTCTAAATCCAATTATGATCTATCCTAATAATGACCATCTCTCCCAAATGAAAATTACTACCAACAAATGAGTTATATTTTATAAAGAAAATGTCATATTTTGCAGATATGTTAGAAAGGAAAAACAGGTTGTGATCCACTGCCTCAAACCCCAAACACTTTTTCAACAAAATGTTAAAAATCACAAATATATTTTAGCTAATTCTCACTATTCCATCTATTCTTCATCTTCTCTTTGGTTCTGGATCTTCCCTTTCCAGGTATACATTCTCATACAGGAATATTACTTCAACTATGACTAATCTTCAATAGGTAGTAATTATATTTACTATTTTTGTGTACACTTTTATTCTCAACTAAAAAAAATTAGTATCATGGTTTTCTAATCCTTGATCAAAAATAAATAGGTAAATAAAAATATGTAATAAACTGGCTTACTTCTGTGTCAGCTATAAAAATATTATAAGATATAAATTTATTAAGAACTTAAAAGTGAGGCAAAACTCAGCTTTGGGAGAACTTTACAAGGGGAGGACCCCCCAAAAAAGGAATTTATTCATAAAAAATTGTGAATTTATTCTTACATGTTTAAACTTCAGTCACCTTCAAAGTACACTCCATTTGATGCAGTACACTTAGTATCAAGACATTTTTCCCCTGCTCAAAACAGGTTTTGAACTCATTGATTTTGATGCCTTCTAGTGCTCCTGCCATTTTTTGTTTCACCTCTTCCATATAGACAAAACGTTTTGCTCCTCTAAGGACTTTTTTCATCCAGGGAAACAAAAAAAAAGTCGCTCAGGGCAAGATCTGACGAATAGGGAAGGTAGGTAGGGCACAGGGGTCATGTCATTTTTTAGTCAAAAGCTGCTGAACACTCAGCGTGGTGTGGGCCGGTGAACTTGTAAATCACTCATGATGAAATGGGCAAAGATGAAAGTCTTAAAAAAATTCACTGAAGCCAAACGCAGCCTCTCACGACATTGCCAGCTGGTACACTAAACACTCAATCCAGTGGAGGAAGTCTGTACTACAAGAGGCCCACCTTCCCAAAGATAATTCCAGGTCCCAGAATTTCGGGAGGTCCCCCCTCTTACTTTCTAGCTGTACATATTAGATCCTTTCATCCTTCAACTCAACTTAAACATCACTTTCTCAGGGAAGCTTTCCTTGACCCACCAGACTAAATAAAGTGTCCCCTGCTGCCGGCTTTCATAACCCTTTCAAAATACTCACCATATTTCTAATTACTAATTTCAAGTGAATCTCCCCCAAGCACAGATCACATACCGAAGGAGGGCAGGAACTATATGCATTTGGTTAAACAATGGATCCCCCAAATCCAGAAGATTAACTGCTATTTAGCAGGACCTCTATAAATGTCTGTTGAATTAATAAAGAATAAATAAATGAATGAATGAATCTTCAGGCATTTGTTCTTCAGCCCTGATAAATCTAATATGTGCCTAAAATATGGAAAGTATGATGGGACAGATTTTGAGGTCATCTCCAAGTATTCCACTTATTCCAACTATTCTCATATCATCAACCCAAAATCTATACAGTAGATGTATCAATTAGGTACTGATGAAATATTGATCAAAATAAGAGCTCTACAAAAATAGCTCATGTTTGTTCAAAACCCAGGGACAGCTTACATGACAATTATAGTAATAATTTATTCTTTCTACACCTCTTTTAGTTATATAGATGTAATTCAGAAAGACTAGCCATTTTTTCAGTTTACCAACACTCTACCCAAAATGTCAGGGAGTTCTGATGGTAGCTTTGGTGGCAAAACTAGCTGCCTCCAAGAATCAAATAAGAGCCAATAATTACATTATTGGAGTTAATAGAATTTTTTTACAGATATAAAGAAAGCAACTTTTGTTGTATATCTCAAACTTACACAAGGTTGTATGTCAATTATACCTCAATAAAACTAGATTTTAAGAAAAAGAATAAATTCTGAATTAACAATACTGTACTGTATACTTGCAATCTGCTAAGAGAGCAGATCTTGGCCCTGGCTGGTGTAGCTCAGTGGATTGAGTGCGGGCTGCGAACCAAAGAATCACAGGTTCGATTCCCAGTCAGGGCACATGCCTGGGTTGCAGGCCACAGCCCCCAGCAACCGCACATTGATGTTTCTCTCTCTTTCTCCCTCCCTTCCCTCTCTAAAAATAAAATAAATTTTTAAAATCTTAAAAAAAGAAAGAGTAGATCTTAAATGTTCTTACTGGAAAAATGAAAGGAAATATGTAAGGTGATAGATGTATTAACTAATTTTACTGTGGTGAACATACATATGTATATCAAACCACATTGTACACTTTAAACTTACACAATGTTGTTTGTCAAGTATATGTCAGTAAAGATGGAGGGAGAAACAAACTTTTTTCTTTTTTTTTCCCAAAAGGTACACTTTTACCTGTCTCCTTGCACTGTCCTTCAGGTTGCTATCCTGTTGTCATACTAGTTGAATGTGGCTGTCTGATGATGCTCATAACATTTATCAGTTTATATTGAAATGTTAGCTCAGAGCAATTCAAATAAAAGATGAATCCTTTCCTTTTTATTTAAAAGGTAAATTAATTCTAAAAGAAGTGAAAGGAATTATGCTTCCTTTAAAATCCTCACTGGATCCATCCTGAGGATCCATCCAGTGTGGACTTAAGATAAAATATAATTCCGGTGCAGCACAGCAAAAATTAAAGAGCTAAATTACAGAGTTGCAAATGTGCACTACTCTTGGAGTCATCCCAAAGGAGAGGGATTAAGAATAGAGCCATAGGCACACCTGTGAATGTATGCCAAAAATAAACTACATAAATATAATAAAAACTGACTTCCTTGGGTCTAAGGGTTTATCTCTTTCCCTGAAATGTAGAAAAATGAATTTAACAATTTAGCCCCTATGGCCTTTAAGAGGATTTTGTGTCTTCCGTACTTGAAAACTGTGCTCAGCATAACTTGCTCTTCTATTCATGTAGTTTATGTATTCCAGGGTTAAGGTTTGCCTGAGGCTATTTTGGTTCATGTTACTACTTTAATTAAATTCAAGTGCATTTACTTTTTTTAAAAAAGTGTATACTCAGAAGATGAATATGAAATATGTCTTGATTCAGAAGGCTTTCTCAGCATTTTGATGTCAAGCATACTTAACTAGATTACACAGGGTCCCTATAAAAATCACCAAATCTTAAAGCTGGTGGAGACCTCACACAAGATCCTCAATTTACATAAAAGGAAACTGAGGTCCAACGAGATATGGAGCCCTACCCAAGATTTTGTAGCTAGTTAAGAACATAACCAGGACCAATTCACATTTCCGACTCAGCAGAGTGTTCACTAAGATTTTTTAAAATAATTTCAAGTAGGGATTTAAAAAAAAAACTTCCTTCAAAGTCATATTTGAATTGGTTCTAACACCTAAATTTACTTCATGAATATCCACTTTACTTCCTAATGGAGTATAAAAACCATGAAAGAAGCATTTTAATTGGAAGGCAAATCATACATCTGAGTTTGCCAGTTTACCACCCAGGAACCTCCCAAGTAGTTACTCAAAGAGTATAGCAATTCCATGACCAAAAAAGATTTAGGTTATGTTAAGAAACCAAAACATTAGTTTGGGAATGAAACTTACCTAAACAATTAAAATGTCTTAACAAATTTAAAAGTCAGAAAATAACTGCAAAGGCTCTCAACATTCCAAAGTAGGAGCAAAAATAAAAAATAACAAAAGTGGGAGCAGTATTCATTCACTGAATTTTTAAACTAGACAACTGAAAATTTACTTAAGCTTTTGAATTTTACTAATACAATCTTTAAAACCAATTGTTCTGTCCTAACAATCTACCAACCGATCATTTTCTTATCTCCTTCGAAAGAACTTCTAGCGTATATTATTTCTTCTTGGCAGCAGAGGTATCTATCTCAATGAGATTTAAATTTGCAACTTGATTTCTAAATTCAGTTTTCATTGGAAAGTGACTACTAGAGTTTATTTTCAACTTCAAAATCTGACTTACTTTTTTTAGTGAGCTATCCTGACAGTGACAGATTTTAAAAACTAAGTTGACTCTAGTGTTAAAATGTCTGTCTGTTCTTCAAATGTCACTCGAGACAAATCTCACTGCAGTAGAGAATCCAAATGCGTGAAACGAGTCACAAAAAGAAGGAGAATACAAGATGTTCGTTGGAGAAAATTATGCTCAATTTACTCAGACAAGTCCAGCTGTTCTTGGGATACATAAGGTCCTCTTATAGTATAACTAATCCTACCTCAAAGCACTTCCTTCACCTTTCCCTCACCTCTTTTTCCTTTGCTATGCAGTTTCTTATTCTTGTAACTACCTAAACAATCCTCACTTCTACTTCTTCCTCAGTTCATTTGCGACCCTCAAGATTCTCTAGAAAACAGCAATACTGAATGTGCCAAAAGCATAATGCTGTCGGAAATAGACACACGGCCAGCCCACTTAAAAGTCTTTGGATGTGATGGCCTAAGTATTCAAAATACGAAGTCGAGTTTTGGAAGGGACGTCGTAAGTCACTAAATTGAACGCTCTCGTTTTCAACACAAAAACAAGGTCTGAGAAACTTATTTATTCTTTGAACCTAAGAGATCTAACTCAACCTGCAACCTGAAATAAGCGTAAATTCAGCCCAAGGATGAGATTTCTAAAGTCACCAGCTAATCTACGGTAGAAACGCGGCTACACCTCCTGCATGCTGACTGCCAGCCAGTTTTCCAACTGCACCAGCAGCTCTTCCTTAAAGTTGAAGTTCACTGCAATCTCACAAGATGTGAGGGATAAAGGGAATCTTAGCTAACACAGTCCACATCTCCCCGTTTTACAAGAGGGAAGGGGCAGATCTCCCGAAAATTTTCTGGCCCTGCAGCTACTGCTTCTGACAACAGAGGCTGAAGTTGACCCAGGAATGTTAGGTCCTCTCAGGCCAGGCCCCATCAAGGTGCGGCGGAATTGCCGCGTTAAACTGACCGGTTTCTCCCAAAGACAGGAGAATCTTGAGGAGAGTGGAGGTAAAACAGGCAAAACGGCCACCCCCACCGAGGTCACCGGCGCCCAGCCCTTTTCGAACAACGATCTCAGGCTTTGGCCCGGCAAAGAAAGGTGGACACCGCAGCTGGTCAGCTTAGCCGCGTGGGGCAGAGCCGCACTGAAGGGCCACGAACCGCGCGCCGGCCACGAGTGGGGGACCGACGGGGAAAGCGGAGGCCGGCGAGAGAACACACGCTAGTTCCATAGTCCAGCGGGCGAGGCAGAGGGTGGGCAGGGGTCCCCCGAACACGGGCTGCCCGGGGTCCGTCACACACATACTCACTGCCGCGGCTGCGACCAGGAAGCACCAACCAGGAACCAAAACGCGTAGAGGGACGGGGAGGGGCGAGGACAAATGAGGTAAGGAAACCGTGTCCGCGCAGACCCGGGAGGAGGGAAGGCACTTCCGGGGAAAACACAGCTCCCGGGAGTCGTCTTCCGTCCCCGCCCACCCTGAGGGCTCTCTGTACGCATGCGTATCATCTATTAACCCTTTCCTTCCCCGCTAATAATGTTTTCGTTTGCTTTCCTTGCTTTCCCCTTTTTCCTTCACTGTTTTTTTCAGAGATACGTAGGCTTCATTTATAATAGAGGACACTGTTTGAATGACTTGCACGAAAGAGATGCTACTTACCTGTCAAAATCCGGCGGGGACTTGCACCCTTACGTGAGCAGGAGAAAAACTACGTCTCCCATGATGCCCCTGGGCGGGTTTCAGAACGGGCTCCGCCTCCTCCTCTCCCACACGTGGGCCATCCTCACTATAGGTCGTGGCCTGGGATCCCAGCCGAGACCTGGTATGGTTATGGGCCCAAGCGGCGGGCGTCTTTCCCGGCTGATCCAGAGCTCTCCAGCGAGGGAGCAGCGTCATGTAGGGCGCCTTGCATTTAATTTCTGTGCGCTAGGTGACCTTAGGCAGGTACCTTCCACCTCTAGTGTGAAGTTGAACTTAGTTTATACCGTGTTGCTTCCGAGTGTTTTTCTTACAGGGTCACAGGTTTAACTCTTAATGAACCTTGAAGAGCTGTATTCTTACTAATGAATGAAGTGAATAGTGGTGCTTTGGAAGCTTCCAGAGGCTAGATGATTGTGTTGGGAGACTCTAGCTTCGGTTCCTCTTCTCACACTTTATTTGAATACTTAGTAACAACAAACCCATCTGTACAACTTTATAAATAATGAAGCACTTTATAAATTCCTTGGCCCTCAACAATAATCCTGCAAGACAAGTTCGACATTGGTTCTTTTGGCCATTTATTGAACATATGTTAGAGGCAGGCAGTGTTAGCAACTGCGAATATAGGAGTAAATTTTTTTAAAGTCTCTGATCTCATAGACCTGAGAGTCTAGCTGGGAACGCAAAATACAGATAATTTGGGTATAAGTCTAAGAGTTTGTCCAGGAAATAATTAGAAATTTTAATATGGTAAGTGCTAGGAAGAAAGGATGGGGTACAATGAAAAGGTAAAATTGAAAGACATTTTGCAGAGGAGGAAACTAAGAAATGCGTCACAGATTACTAGGTTGTTTAGGTAATGTGTATTGTGAGGAACAAATGTTATCCTAATAAAATAATTTATTGAGCTTTTGTCAAGTGCCAGATTGATTTTTTTAATTCTTGTTTCTCAAGAAAAGGAAGTAGATTCAGAGAAGTTAAGTTGCCTAGGACCACAGATTAGAAAATGCTCTGAATTACTGTGCCCAATCCTCCCACTTAATTCATGTATTCAACCTAGGTTTACTATATTCCCCAAGTTCAGAATGCTTTAGCCATCCCCTTTGAGGTTATTTCATAAAACCTAGAGTACTTTGAATGGCATAAAGGGCAATGCATGAGCTGAATCTGCCTCCCTATTCACCACCATGCTAAATCATAGGCAGCTGCCAGAACATGCTATCCTCTCCCACACCTGTACCTTTGCAGAGGGCATTCCCACTGCCTGTAAAGTCATTCTCCCTGGCCATCTAACACTCCTATTCACCCTACTCTGCCTAAGCCCTGGGTCTTCAGGGAAACCTTCCAACAGAGCAGTCATTCCTTCCCCTAGGCTCACCTACACTTTGGACAAACCATTAAGGCAATTACATTGTGTTTATCTTACAGTTGTCCCCCAGCTGAATTATGGACTCCCTGATGGCAGAAACTTTGTCATTTTGTATCTTCCCCAGCAAAGTAGTTGTTGGCAGACAGTGAGCACTCAATAAAGGTATTAAAGGAATGAAGGCAGTGTAACTCCATATAGGCTCTAGGAAACCCAAGAACCAGAAGTGAATTCAGTGTGGAAACCATGCCATAACCCCCCAAAACTGGAAAGCATTATAGTGCTCCATAACATTAAGGTGGGTATAAAGATCTGTAAAGGTCCCAAGGATAAAGACATTTCCAAGGAGAGTAGTGTATATATACACACACCCTGTCTTGACATGGTGAATTCTGATTTACATGGCTTTTAAAAATAATAAGATCCAGCTTCCTATGCAGTGATAGGGAAACTGAAGCCCAGAAGGGAAGATGTGCCACAAGTCACCGAGCAGAGGCAGAACTGTGACTGCAATCCAGGTTTCTGAGTCTCTCCCTTTGGGGTTGCCACACACACAGTATTTCTCTTTTCACCTCATGCTGCCTCTGGTCCTCACTTCTTGAGATCATGGGTGGCAGCATGCTCAACTATCTTGAATCCTCTCTTACAGAGAATATTCTAAAGAGCCCATTTATTTGAGGAAGGCAGCACCTGCTCTCCCCAGAGCAGTGGCAATACTACATCAACAGTGAGGAGCTGAATTGGGGTGAAGGCCAGGACCAAGGGGCTTGCCTCACTACAGAAAGCAGACAAGGGGGCGGGGGGGGGGGGTATGTGCTGTAGCAGGGTTTAGGCAAGAGGCATGTAGTACTCATTCCTCACCCTTCCATTATAGATAGAGGAGCTACCTTTCTTTTATTCCAATTTATTAGTGGTACCTAGAACCTCAGAACTAACTAATCATTTTGACTTCTTAACAATTGCTTCTCAATTACTATTCATTCACTGAAGGGCCACTATGTGACAGGCCCTTGCTAGGCACTTGAGCTATATCGTCTCTTTTCCATCCTCAAAATGGAAAAGACTCTGACTCTGTAAGGGAGGTGTTAACCCATTCCACCAGTACAGAAATAGCAACTGGACAAGGTCATGTGACTTGCTCTAAATCGCACAGATTCAAACCCGATATTGTCTGAATTCAAAACCCATGCTCTTTTCTGTGCCCAAAGCAGCCTATCAGAAGTAAACCTCTCCAACCCTGGCTGAGTGGCTCCATTGGTTGGAGCATCATCCTATATGCCAAAAGGTTACAGGTTCAATTCCCAGTCAGGGCACATACCTAGGCTGCAGGTTCCATCCCTGGTCAGAATGCCTCCTTGAGAGTGGAGACTGTGATGACCTGTTTCTACCTCTACACTCAGCACCTAGCTCAAGGCCAAGCACATAGTGAACTCACAGAGAACGCTATGGAATGAATGGGTCCAGTACAAAATGTCTGTCCAATGAAGGCCTGCCTGCTATATGGACAGTGTTGTGGGACAGTAGATGAGGGAGCACCTGGCTGCATAGGGGAGGTGGAGAAACCTCCTTTTGTCAAGGAGGAGGCCAAATAAGTAGAAAGAAAAAAAACCCAAGAAGCTAGCTTTCTAACAGCAAAGAACAACAACAGGCAATTCACAGAAGAAACCCCAAAGGCCATGAACTATGATAAAGAGATGCTCAACATCACTGATAGTTAGAAAAGTCAAATGATCTCATGTAGTGATCACAGGAATACAAATTGGAAAAGCCTTTTGGGGAAGCTTTTTTTTTAAAAAAGATTTTATCTATTTTATTTTTAGACAGAGGGGAAAGGAGGGAGAAAGAGAGGGAGAGAAACACCAATGTTTGGTTGACTCTCGAGCACCCGCCCCCACCGGGGACCCGGCCCACAACCCAGGCATGTGCGCCAACTGGGAATTGAACCAGTGAACCTTTGGTTTGCAGACTGGTGCTCAGTCCACTGAGCCACACCAGCTGGGGTTGGGGAAGTTTTTTGATAGTGTCTATCCAAATTGTAAATGACCTATATTCTTAAGTGTATATGCAAAGGTAGTTTGTGATAGGTGAATGGAAATATTATAAATACTAATCAGGAATAAAATAAATTAGGATATATCTATACTATTTTAAAACACTGCTTTTAAAAGAATGATGTGAATCTGTATGTACTGATATAGAACAAACTCCAAGACATACAGTTGAGTAAAAAATTATAGAGCAATAGGCTTATTATGTACTCATTTTTGTTATAATTTTAAAGGATATATGTGTGTCTGTGTGTGTCTGTCTTTGTGTGTCTGTGTGTGTCTGTGTGTCTTTGTGTGTATGTCTGTGTGTGCCTGTGTGTGTGTGAATGCATAGAGGAAATACTGGCTGGATACCAATCAATAACCTCTGAGGAGGGGAGTGGAATTGGAGGGGGATGAAAAGGGACTTTCACTTAAAAAAAAAGTGAGATGTAATTCATGGAGAAGAATACCACATCACTGATGTCATATTTCTATCAAAAGCTCATAACCTGAAGAAACTATCAGACAAACGCAAATCGAAGGACTCTGTCTCTTCAAAAATGTCAGTGTCACAGAACACAGAGGAAGCCTAAGGAACTGTTCCCCGCCAAAGGACAGCAGTTAAAGAGACATGATACGTAGTGCAATGCCTGCACTGGGACTTTCCTTCATCATAAAGGACAGTATCGGGACAATTGGCAAAGTCCAAATAAATCTAGTGCTGTATCGATGTTATTTTCCTGGTTTTTATATTGCAGGTATGTAAGAGAATGTGCTTTTTTTCTTAGGCTATATATACCTGAGTACTTGGGGTAAAAGGATCACCTGAAACTTACTCAGAAGGGGTTCAGGGAAAACATGTGCTTGGGGGGAGGGAGGAGAGAAGGAGAAGAGTGAACATTTGGGGAATCTGGGCAAAGGTATACAAGAATCCTTTACAGCAATTTTGTGATTTTCTTTAAGTCTGAAATTGTGTCAAAATATAAAAGTCAAAGGGAAAATTTAAAGAGTGGGGAAGAGTTTTCGTGATAGAAAAAGCAGGGGAATATTATTCATGATATTCTGGCAAAAGAACAAGAGAAGCAAAGGACACTGACAACAACCAGTGGCTCTGAGTGTCCAGAACACAGCATGGTGTGGGGAGAAAGGGAGGTTGGGGAGAGCAGAAATGATGAGCAACCCAACTCACAAATGGACACAT